GTACTTATAAATAAAAGTAAACAATTTTATATGTAGGACTAAGCAAGTAAATGTTATAAGAATATTTACATGTGGAGTTATGTCTAAAAAAGTTAGTATTTTGTTTTCTGCACCTGTTTATTCGTTTTACTGCGGCGTCTTTGAAAATACTCAGGTGGCATGACATATTCCTATTATTTGATAAACTTTAGATTATTCAGTTACTAAATGTTTGAAATTATTTGTCTTTGCGGAAAACACTATTTAGAGAATATGGGGCCCTTAACAATTCCCAAATAGACGTGATTGCGATTGTTGCGCAACCAAACTTACGCTAATGGCATGTAACAAACACCAAATTTTCTGAAGGCAGACTGTGCCAATGTTGTGTTCTTAAAAAAGAAAATTTGATTACGTATGGAAAGTTAAAGCAAAAACTTTCATATATTTGTTGATAATAAACAATTATGATAATTTGTTTATTTTTAGCATATTAGTTGATATGAGGGGAGATTTATCTCAATAAATGTATCCTTCGAATAATATTACATAGCCACACAAAAAAAATTGTCTACTTTTCATGCGACATAGGTTATCTGTAGTATTTTTGCCTCCTGATCACGAATCCGGTGTCAGAATTGAGCTATCACATCACAGGAATTTCCTAACCTTAAAAAACAAAAAATGGCAAAAAGTGCTAGGAAAAGTACAATTTTTTTTTCTATATTCAAATGTTCATTTATATGGTTAAGACCCTGCCGAACATGAATCCGTGGTCAGTATTGATGATTCTTTTTCTAACCTAAAAAAAACGAGTCAATTAAGGTCAGATATCACGAATTTTCAAAAAATAACAGATTCTCGCCAAATTTGGCATTCCCGGATTTTCGGGGTCACTGATCACGGATCCGAAGTCAATTTTGCAAAATTCAAAATGGCGGATCCAAGATGGCCTACCAAATTTTCAAAAAATAACAGAATCGCGCCAAATTTGGTATATGAGGGTTTTCGGGGTCACTGATCACGAATCCGTGATGGCTCAATTCTGACACCGCATTCGAGATCAGGACGTAAAAATACAACGGATCACATATATATCGCATGAAAAGCACAGACAACTTTTTATTTTATGTGCCCAACGATTTAGGATTTCTTTCACGACATTGAAATTATTGTTATTGAAATATTGAAATTATTTTTTGTATAATTTAGATAAGACCTACTTGAATAGTGCACTTCTATTTACATTATCTAATAAGTGAAATGTTTTTATTAAAACTTCACTTCGATCAGATAGATGTGCCTTATCTTTTCTACGCATGCATTGAAAATTATGAAAATAAAACGAAAATCTAGCGAAAATAATATTTGCAATATTAATTATCGTTTTTTTCTTATTTTCAGAACTAGCAGTAGCGATTGGCAACCACATAGAACTGCTACAGCCAAATGGTTCTGTAATACAGTCGTCAACACAACCATTCAACAAATTAAAGGCACTAACATATGACAACATCCGTGACCAATTCATTGTCAGTAACACAGACAGACTGAACGATACCATTTTCACTGTCCAGCTGACCGAAGAGACTGATACCGATATTACACCGATTATACAAGATCTTCCCGATGATGTTCTTGTAAGTAAACGATATTGTTCATTAAAAATTTAATTTATGTCTATAGTTTATTTCTAAATAATGTGTGTAATGTAATCTTTCAGGGGTTAGCCATAGATCCAATAGATGACGTATTATACTGGACAGACGCTATAAACAGCACTATTAACTACGTTGCTATGAATGAGACCCTCTACGAGTCCAAGGAATTTCTTTCCTTCAAACACGAGTACCCCCATGCCATCGTAATTGACATATGCAAAAGGTAAGTGCCTAATCGATATTAATAAACTTACATATTGAAATAAGCTGATAACATTGTATTCTCAAAGGGTATGTTATTTTCTCAGCAGATACGAGTTTGTCAAGACAAAAGAAATCATTCTAATTACTCAACAAATTATAGATTAGACACGTAGATAATGTGTAATGTTTTTGTAATATTGTGTAAATCAGTACTCTCCAAGATTACAAAAAAAAACTGATCTTTATAATTAAAAAGTATTCAAAATTGCTTGTAGAGAACAGATATTAAGCTAATTCAAATAAATTCTTATCAAATCAATTTGCTGTCCGCAACATTTTGTCTNAAACACTTGTTCCAGGTACATATATTGGACGAATCAGAAGTCCGAATACCCTTCCATAGAAAGAGCAAGGCTGGATGGTACCGGCCACGAGACACTGGTAGATCGTGATGTTGTAACTCCCGAAGGAATAGCGATAGACTACCAGTCCCAAAGACTGTACTGGGCAGACAGTAGAGGTGGCTCCATCTACGGGAGAATCGAGAGTACCACCCTGGAAGGAAAAGAGAGAGAGTTGGTACACGAAGGTACCCACATCAAGCCATTTGGTCTAGCGGTCGATGGGGATACAATATATTGGACAGACATCAACAACAACGGCGTGTATCGCATCTCCATATCGAAAAAGTCGGAGCCTGAGAAAATCATTGAATTCGATGGAAGGCCTATGGGGCTGGTGACCAACAATTTCCGCATCAACGATTTAAACGAGTGTAAATACATAGAAACAGGCAGCAAAACGGTTAAGGAAGGCGAGAGAGAAGAGACAGCCGAAGTCTCTCAGACTGAGGAACCGGAAACGAAAAGTTGCTTAAACGACGGAGAGCTCGTCGATAATAAGTGTTTGTGTAAGAGAGGTTTCAACGGCACGTACTGCGAAACATCCATCTGCCACAATTTCTGCGTCAACGGTGCCTGTCGCATATCCTACTTGGGAAAGCTCACGTGTCGCTGCGACGCAGGTTTCGTCGGTGGACGTTGCGAACGCAACAAATGCGACGACTTTTGTTTGAATGGTGGTGAATGCACCATCGTTTCGCCTCGAGATAGGCCGCAATGTCGGTGTCCTAACGGATTCATGGGGGACCGATGCGAGTATAGTACCGAGATCTGCGACGTCTACTGTACGGATAGAGGGGACGATCTCTTCTCCGAGAAGTTCGAGTTGCTGTGCAGGTGAGAGATCTTGTATACACGAATATATTTAATTTTTTTTCAAAATAAGGAATAAAATGTATTGAAAATTTATCTTGTTTTCAGGTGTAGCGAGGGCTTCAACGTATTCTCCGACAGAAACCGCACAGCCGCGAGATTGTCGGCCTCCAAGGAACAGGACAACTTCTTCAGCAGTCTAAGCAATCCTCTGTACTATCTCGCCGCTTTGGTACTTATTTGTTTGCTCATTATCATTACGCTCGCCGTTTACATCCGCATCATCCGCAAGAGGCGCCCCAGGATCAAGAAGAGGATCATCGTCAACAAAAACGTCACGCCTTTAACTTATCGGCCACAGCCTAACACGGAACAGTGCGAGATCACCATCGAGAACTGTTGCAACATGAACGTATGCGAAACTGTAAGTATTTATTGATTTTTTTATATATTTTTGATGAAAAAATACTTCTTTATTAACTTCGGCGGTTACATTAGATGAAAATTCATATGAAAATTTGATTGTGCAAAATCATACGGCTTCGTTTAAAGTTCCGCTTCCTCTATATCACTTTACATATTCCAATGAAGTAAACAGTGATCACACACTTGATAAGCACGAAACTATTGCTCAAAACGAATTGGATGGAAACGAAAAGGACGTCTTCGAGGTTTAAATTTACAGTTTTATGTTGTATTGAGTTTGGCTTCTGTAACGTAAAATTACTTACGCTTTAGTAGCAATCTACGATATCTTTAATTCGTATTTGTGTGGTTACACATCGCTGTCTTCTTACAAATTCGTATCAGTCGTTGACGCGACAAGCTTGTTCACATCGGTTCCTACCAATAGCCCGCCATGAAATCGTGTGATATTTGTATCTAAAGAAAATG